CGTGCGTTAGTTGGAGGGGAGGGGCTCCTGAGGGGGCGTGGTTTGTGCCGCCAGCTGGCCGTGTGGGTCGGAAATTTTAAAGAGACCATAGTGTGTGTGTGTGTGTGTGTGTGTGTCTGTCTGTCTGTCTGTCTGTCTGTCTGTCTCTCCGCGCGCCCGGCTCCCATCTGTGTCTGCAACTCCTATCCACCTGGCTTCCTAGGTTGGGGTGTCGTCTCCTGTGAGCTTCATACCAGTACCAGCGAAAGCGGGACAGAGTACACCCGCATCTGCAGACCGGGAATAGTACCCCTATCTCCCCCGGGTGCTGTAGGGATTCATTAAGAACACACGTGATTTTAAAAGTCAGCTTTACTCTTCCAGCGCTTTTTCACTTATTCTGTTTATTTTTATTTTTGGAGAGAGATTTTTGCTATAGGGTGTGTGCGCTCGCTGGAGAGACAGAAAGTGAGACATCCTCCTCCCACAGGGGGATGACCATGACACACGGAATCCCTTCTCCTCCATTCTCCTCTTTGGAATTTTGGGCATACACGCATGCGCCTGGTGTGTTGTAAATCACCAGGTCTGGGACTCAAACTGTGGTCAACTATGGGGGAGTCCAGTAATGTTACCATTACGCCTCTGCTGGTCCTCCTTTTCACTTATTCTTTTGCAGCATTTCACTTACAAATATTAAGTTCCTACTGCGGGTTCTGACTGAGATCCACAGAATAAGCACAGTCCCCAGCATGGAGCTGGCTTGTGCTCCTGCAAGGTGACAGAGAGGTTAACAGACAATTCAGTGTAACGGGAATAATAAGTAAGCGGTTCACGTGTACTGTGTGAGCACCAGCGATATGCCAGTCAAAATACTTAATCTGCATAATAACCCTTTGAGGTATGCAATATTATTTTTGCTTTACAGTCAAGGAAATTGACCCTTAAATTAAGGAAAAACAAGTAGGGTCCAAACATGAAGCAGCCTGACTCTGACAGTGTTGGAGAGGCATTGCAGAGGTACTCAGAAGGCCAGGGTGCATGTACTGAGGAATAGATTAGGTGCTCTCTCTTGTTTGTTTATTTTATCTTATTATTATTTTATTTAGACGTTGCCCTAGGGCATGTGTGCTAGGGGAGGAAGGAAGGAGAGACAGAGACAGTGAGAGGGAAAGTGAGAAATCAATCCCATCCCCGAAGGGGTGGGAGGGTGGGGGGGATGGCCATTCTGCAACCTCTTTTTCTCCTTTCCCCTCTGGGATTTTGGGTACACCTGCACAGATGCCTGACATGAGCTACCAGGTTCGGGATTTGAACTGTGGTTGGCCACGTGGGAGTCCGGTGATGTAACTGCTATGCCATCTGCTGGTCTCTCTCTCTCTCTTTTTAAAAATCTATATATAAATGGATTCTTTTGGAGGTACAGACAGTGGCACAGTGGTAAAGCAATGCTCTGTGAGGCTCACTCACATGGGAAGAATCTCAGTTCAACTCCAGAGATCTCCCTGCGTGATTCAGGGCTGGCTGAAGCTGGGGGTGAATCGTGGTGTGAAGACCCTATTCGGGGTGACTTCCCTCTCTTTGTTTTTCACTCACGAAAGATATAAATAAACTTTTAAAATTTCTTGTATATCAGGGGTGGTACGAAGGTTAAGGTGGCTGACTTTCATATGGTTGACTGGGTTGTTCAAGTCCTGGACCCAGTGGTTTGAAAATCAGGTGAGCCATGTGGCCATCCCCTTTGGGTGGGAAGGATGTGATTTCTCACTTTCTCTGTGTCTCCGTCTTGCTCCATTGAGTGCACGCACCCTTTGGCAAACTACCCCCCCAATTGTATGTATTTATGGGGTACAGTGTGATTTTTTTCAATGCAGTGTGTAACGATCAACTCGGTAATTAGCATAGCCATCGCTGCAAACATTTGTCACTTCTCTAAGTTGGGACCATTGAAACTCCTCTCTTTCAGCTAGACTGAGCTATTCAATAAATTATTGTTAACTACCTGTATAACACGAGAACACGCTCCTCTTACCTAGCCGTAACTTCGTACCTGTTAACCAACATCTCTGCAGCCCCACCACCCTTTGCAACCTTTAGTTATCAGTTTTGTACTCTCTACTTCTTCGGGAACTCTTTGCCGCTGTTGGTGGGAATGCAAATTAGAACAGCCATCATGGAAAACAGTGTGAGGTTCAAACACTAAAAATAGAATGGCCATATGATCCAGCAGCTCCTCTACTAGAAACGTATCCAAAGGAAGAGAAGTCAGACCGTGGTAGAGGTAGGTGTATTTCAGGGTGTGTTGCAGTGCTCTGCAGATACCCAAGATGGATAAAGAGAATGTGGGCAGGTATACATATATGTATGTATATGTGTATGTGTGTGTATATATATATATATGAATACTAGTCAGCTTTTTAAAAGAATAAAATCTGGGCTGGCCCCATGGCCAAATGGTTAAGGGAGCTGGACCCCACATGGCTGACCCCATGGTTCAAATCCTGGCCCTGGCACCTTGAAAATCACACTGGACGTGTACACATGTGTGCCCAAATTCCTGATAGGATTGAGACATGGTTGTATCATGACTGTGTCCCATTGGGGGTGCTTTTCCCCTCTCCATTATGCGCTTTCTCTCTCTAGTGAATACATGTGCCTTCTAGCAAAAAAAATAAAATAATAAAATAAAAAAAAAAGAACAAAGAAAAAAACTTATGGTCATAGGATTATTATTTTATTTTTTGCATTAACAATATCAATTTTATCTATATAATTTTGTGACAAAAGTATGACAGGATGCCTCACAAAATATTGACAAGCAAGGGCCAGGGAATGGCATAGCGGTTATGTCACTGGACTCCCACATGGCTGACCAAGGTTCAAGTCCTGGACCTGGTGGTTTGAAAATCACACCAGACACGTGTGTGTGCATGTTTGAGATCCTGGGAGGAGAACTGAGGAGAAGGGATTGCAGGGTGGCCGTCCCCCCTGAGGGGTGATTTCTCACTTTTCCTCTCAGTCTCTCTCGCTGTCTTTCCAGTGACCTGATGTACCCTATAGCAATTGTTTTTAAATTGAATGGGTTGGGGTGAGCAGATGGCATAATGGTTATGTCCCTGAACTCCAACACGGCAGACCACAGTTCAAGTCCTAGACCCAGTACATGTGCATGCGTGCCCAAAATCCAGAGAGGAGAATGGAGGAGAAGGGATTGTGGCATAGCCATCCCCCCGGGGGATGATTTCTCACTTACTGTCTGTCTCTTGGTGAGCGCACACGTCCTAGAACAAACATCTCTCCAAAGAACTGGATTTATTAAGAAGAGACT